CTTGAACCAGGTTCAATATACTTCTTCCCCAGTTCAGCCATGCTGCTTTTCTAGGTTAAAAAAAAGTTGCAGAACTGTAAATGAACAGGCAAGCTAGTGGTGATAAGAGCTCTGATTTGTTAAAACAAACAGACAGAAAACAACAAAATAACCACTGGAAATTTCTAGAGCTGTAAACATTCTTTAAACATTTATCCTTATAATGTAGAGACCTGGAGCTTAGCATTAGTATCATCCATACAGACCACCAAACTCAATGTGCCTCCTTGTGTGATGTCACATAAACTGTACATTACCAGAATAGTGTTGTTGCAAAAAATGCTTACCTGAATAAAATTGTGAGGAAACAATTAGAAAATTCCACAGTAAGGAACATTCTACAAGGCAATTACCTTGGATTCTTAAGAAAAAAAAGCCAAAGACCTGAAAAGAGGACAATTCTAGATTGAAAAATTAAGCAGCCAAATGCAATGTATAAATATTAAATGGAGCCTGGGCGTGGTGGCTCAGGCCTGTAATCTCAGCACTTTGGGAGGCCAAAGTGGGCCACTTGAGCCCAAGAGTTCAAGACCAGCCTGGGCAATATGGCAAAACTCCATTTCCATAAATAAATAAAAAATTAGCCACATGTGGTGGCATGTGCCTGTAGTCCCAGCTTCCTGGGAGACTGAGGTGGGAGAATCACCTGAGCCAGGAAGGTCGAAGTTGCAGTGAGCTGAGATCAAGCCACTGCATTCCAGCCTGGGTGACAGGGTGATACCCTGCCTAAAATAGAGGATTCTGGATCAAAAACCAAGTATTTTTTGTATGTCTTTCATCATATGTCATATAAAAGACACACAAAATAATAAAAGACATCTTTGTGGCAGTGGGGAAAATTGGAATATGAACTGTTTATTAGATATTATTGCATTATTGTGATTTTTCTTAGGTGTACAATGGTTATTAGTGGATATGTAGAGGAATGGCATCCTTAGATGTCTGCTAAGTATTTGGGGCTAAAGGGTTTATAAACTTTTTTAGTGTTTGTACTTTCAAATGGTTCAGCAAAAGTAAATGTGTGTATATCTAAGTATATTTATATACAGACATATATAAAGACAGTAAATACAGCTAAATGTCAACAGTTTGGTAGATCTAAATGGGTATGCTGGGTTCATTATACTATTTTTTTCATGCTTCTGCAGATCTTTTTCTTTTCTAAAATTAGGAGAAGAAAGTATTTTTGTTTTTTATGGCATGTATCTCTTTATTAGCTCTTCAACTTTTAAATTTCTATTCACTTGAGGTTTATGACTTGGAGAAGCAGAAAAGACAACAACCCTTAGTAGGTGAGCCTTATGTTTTAATTCATGGAATTAGAGATTAATTGTGAGGCTACAAAGATGCAACATTTTCAATACCTGATGATTTTGTATGTTAGAGTGACTCCAAATTGATTTGAGTCTGGAGTCAGGGTGTTGCCCAGTTCCAGTTTAGTGCCATTGACGTTTAAGTAGCCTCACCAAACCATGCCATTTGAGAGCAGTTTTTAAGTAACTATTAAATTATGGTGACAGCATCACTTTGTCATACACAATCTCCTTCCCCTGCAGGACAACTGCCTGACAATGTGCGCTTCCATTGGAACCCCTATTTTCTTACAGCATGTCAGCAAGTGTGTTCCTAATCGAAGGTGGGTACTATGTTCTAATCTCAGAATGTAGTACAGCATTATGGCATGAAACAGTAACTCAAGAAATACTAACTGAATAAAGAAATGGGTAAAATAAAGATTAAAGTGAGGATTTTTCAAGAAAAATGGTTTTTAAAAATTTGTGTGCAATAATGTGGATTCTCTGGTAGGAGACAGAGAAGGGACCAACTTATAAGGAAGCTTTAAATGTTATTGTTAGTCACATGGGCCTTTGTGAGACAGTTGGGAGAAGTCTCTGGAATAGAAAAGAAATATGTTTTTGGAGTATGAACGATCACTACCTTGGATCAGGAGCTACTACAGTTCAACCAGAGGCCTAGCTGAGTTGTTTGTCCTAAACTTAATATATTTGCTATATAGTTCTGTTAATGAATATAATTCCGTAAATCAATGATTACATTTTATGTCTTAATTGAGCACTTACAAATTCAAGATACATTATTTTTCTGAGCTATTTACCAATCCTATTTATGAGTTTAGAAAATGAATCAAACTCTTTCCCTGAGATCAGCTTTTTACTTCTTTTTCAAGGTAGCTCTTTCAGTAATATTTGCCATGGCACTATAATGAAATCTGTCAGGAATTATAAGGATGAGTACTTTACTATAGCTGAAACATGAGCATGTTTGAGAACTTCTGATAGCACTAATGGGTTAGTGTTTCAAATGAAAATAATTAAGTCAACAGAAAGTAATTCTTCTTGGATTAGTCTTGAGGACTGGTTAATAATGATAAAGAAATATCACTTGAAAGGAGCTTTTTGTCTTTAAATGAAGATAAATTAAAGGGTAACTAGGATTTGTCACCTCCAGTACTGATATGTACTAGCGTAGAATCAAAGCTAGCATATAAAAGAAAACTCTCTTTGTAAGTCACTGGACAATTTTTATGAACTCTTTCTTTGTGGAGCAAGAAAAGTAGTCAGACAAATCAGACCAAGGTGAGGTATCTTTGGAAAATTTAATTTGGACCATAGTTTCTTCTTTTTCTGAAAACATCAAATATCCCCATACATTTTGGGTTCTACAGCTCACAAAGGGGTAGTGTGTTTCCCGCAGTTACATACTGTACCCAGCTTTCTATAGAAAGATAAGACATTTTCCAACCTTGCTTTTGAGTATTTCCTAAAAAATGCTTTAAAGTTTCCTTACGATAAATGGCAAGTAAAACAAAGTAAGGTTTTTTTTTTTCTCCTTTTCCCCTTTTTACGTACTGCATGTTGGAGGAATAAGGAAGGAAGACTAATTCCATCAGTGTACTAGTAATCCTAGTACTCTGGGGATTACTGCTGGATCCTCCAAGGTATACCCCTATTATTGAGGCCCTGATGCACCCCCCTGCATTGAGGAACCTGGGAAGGGCAAGTGCTCAACAGTCTGTTATAGCCATGTGGGACTGTCACAGCACAGGTGGGGACTGGGAGCTGCCCAGTTCTTCTTGATGCTCACAGGAGTAACAAAGGAACTAGGACCACCAAACCGTAACCAGAGGCCTCCCATGTGGTACTGCAGTATCACAGGTTCACGTTCGTGGGCCTTAGCAAATGTACATTTATAGACCCAATGTATTTATTTGGGGAGAAAAAAAACCACAAGAAAAATGCCTTTACTAATTTCTGTATCAAATTATTAGAATGAAAATAAAAGCATTTCTCTGATAAAACACATTTTCTATGTTAGATGAAAATAACTCCCTTGCAAGATAATATTGGTAATGTGTATTTGTCACTATTTATATATTTTTGCTTAGTACACACATTTCTTTAATAGCATCATCTGAAGAGCTTTGTCATTTTTCAAACCTGTAGTTTCATTAGCTTAAAAAAAGGGTAAGGCAGCCAAATTTAACCAATTTTGGTTGCAGAAAAACATCTCGGGTATTAACTTTCATCTTTTCAAGTGCTAAGAGCACATAATTAAAAGATAAAGTTTCTTCTCTTAACAGGAATCTAAGTGGCTATTGTCATCAAATGTACTTTTACATGTACTTTTTAGTAAAGGGCCCCCTCATAAATATAAAATTAAATTCTTTTGAGGAATAGGTTTGTGATTTTAGTTATGCAGGATTTACATGTATTCATTACATTTTGTAGTAAAAAAATGTGTGGTCTTTGCTTATTTTCATACACAAGTGATTTCTTCATCTCAGCAGGCTCTCACATACAAACGGCAGGCTGGGTTATTCAGCTTATTTCTGAAAGGGGAGGCAGCAACATATTATGTGCTCTTAGAATCCTTGCAAAAACTCCTGTAGCTGGGTGACAATCTCTGTGTCCACTGTTTCCATGAGGGACTGGAAACCTTGTTCTCCTAGTAACTCCTGCTGTGCCTTCAGCTTCTCGTAGATGAACTGCTGCAGTGACACTGTATGAACAGGGTCCTTCAGGGCCAGCTGTGGGATACAGAGAGGAGCAAGACTGTCAAAAAAGCAAAACTAGTCTCTCCTACCTGCAATTTACAAAAGTTCTTTGCAATCTCTTCCATAGTAACAAAATTGCTTCTGCCTCTCTTCTTACACAGATTCTATATCATATATCAGTCTCATGGTGGAAAAATTTGTCAAAGAAAATTTCATTCAATTAGTCTAACTTCAGTTCCCTAGGGCCCCCTGAACATGTTGTCTGATTAGCTGTTTCTCAAGAGCCGGGGAACTCATTCATTTAAAGCATCAAAACCTAGTAGAAAGTATTCTAAAAGGAGCAGAACATGCTGAAGAACATTTAAATACATTTCCTTAGGAAAACGGGGTAGGTCACAGTGGCAACCCAGTGATGCCCTCAGGATCGAGAGAGTAGACAATGTTTGCCCTACCCTGTATCGCAATACTATTTAAATTCCTGTATATGCTTCTGGTTGAAATAAAAAAAAGGGCTCTTCTCCCACTGGGATATCTGGAAAACGGAAAACGTGTAACTTCACAAAAAATAACCCATAAGTCCACTCCCTAAAGATAACAGTAACAACAGAAAACACTTTGGCCTCTTTTGGCTTCTTCTATGCCTGTGGTATGCACATACATACATACATACATACACACACATAAAACACACCTGGAACCAGGCTAATGTGTGATATTCTGGATTGAATCCTAGAACTATCAGTATTACCAGAAAAAGTGGTGAAATCTACATAAAAGTCTGGAGTTTAGTTAATAATAATGCACCAATGTTGGTTTCTTAGTTTTGATAAATGTACTATGTATATATCTGAAAAATGTAGGGCCAGGCACGGTGGCTCTTGCCTGTAACCCCAGCACTCTGAGAGGCAGAGGTGGGCAGATCATGAGGTCAGGAGTTCGAGACCAGCCTGGCCAATATGGTGAAACCCCTTCTCTACTAAAAATACAAAAATTAGCCTGGTGTGGTGGTACATGCCTATAGTCCCAGGTACTTGGGAGGATGAGGCCGTAGTGAGCTGAGATGGCGCCACTGCACACCAGCCTGGGTGACAGGGCAAGACTCCATCTCAAAAAGAAAAAACGAAAAATGTAACATACAATGTTAACGTTAGGAGAAACTGGGTGAGGGGCACATGGGAACTCTTTGCACTATTTTTGTTACTTTTCTGTAAACCTAAAATTATTCCAAATTAAGAAGATTATTCTAAAAAATGGACTCAGAAATTAGAAAAGTATACCCCTCTGTGGCCATCTAGTATAAGGACAAACTGATCTACAACTGACATCTCATCTTATGTATTAGCTTAAATAAGTGTCCAATAATATAACTTCTAAGCAGCTAGCCTGCATTCAATTTTGAGATAAATACTGATGTCTCCAAGCTCTGAATAACATTCAAGGTTAGTTTTTCTCACGTTAATGACATCAAAAGAACCAGAATATAGATCAGAAAATTCCTGGTTTTGTTCTCTTTTCATTACTTCCATATGCCAACCTCTTACTCTTGCCCTCTAAGAAAGCATGTGATCATTTAAGAAATATTTCAATTGAAATGGTTAAGATAAAATTAGAAACCTTCAGAGGCTTCAGTTATTAGTAAAAGATAATTACCCAGAATTCCCAACTCTGGAGTAACACCAGATAAATGGAGTGTTAACAACCAGATTCACTTTAAAAGTCCACACATCGGATTTTAATAAGCAAGTGGCTCAGTATTGCTTGGTTTTAAAATTATTACTCTAAGACAGAATGGTTCGAGTTGAAGTGTGTATCAGTTCCCTCTGTTGGTAATGATAGCGTTTTGACATATGCTTCAACCCATAAAATACTTAGTCTTCAAAAGCGGTTCAAGATTTTAGCTTCTGGGAAGCTACTTACACATTTCTTGTTCTTTGAGATTTTTATTCCTTGAAACAAAGTTTTCTATCATATTTCACTACATTAATAAGCAATTTCACCCAGGAACAATTTAGTGAAGCAAAATCTTTCATTTTCCTTATGTGGCGTATGTCATTATTCACTTTTTAAGCCTATAGGCCCAAATGTAATTTTTTCAGAAACTATTTACTGTAAAGTTATTTTGTCAGAGGTCTTTGAACTACTGCAACTCCATCTTGAATAGGGGCTGGATAAAATAAGGTGGAGACCTACTGGCCTGCATTCCCAGGACGTTAGGCATTGACACAAGATACAGGTAATAAGGACCTTGCTGATAAGACAGGTTGTGGTAAAGAAGCTGGCTAAAACCTGCCAAAACCAAGATGGCCACAAAAGTGACCTCTGGTTGTCCCCACTCCTCATTACATGCTAATAATAATACATTAGCATGATAAAAGACACTCCCATCAGCACCATGATGGTTTACAAATGCCATGGAAACATCCAGAAGTTACCTTATATGGTCTAAAAAGGGGAGGAATCCTCAGTTCCAGGGATTTACCACCCCTTCCCAAAAAACTCAAGAACAGTTCATCCTTTGTTTAGCATATAATCAAGAAATAACCATAAATATAGCCAGCCAGCAGCCCTAGGGGCTGCTCTGCCTATGGAATAGCCATTATTTTATTCCTTTACTTTCTTAATAAGCTTGCTTTCACTTCAGTCTAAGGATTCAACTCAAATTCTTTCTTGCGTAAGATACAAGAACCCTCTCTTGGGATCTGGATCAGGACCCCTTTCTGGTAACAATTTCATAAGGAATTTTGCTAAAAAGTATATTCCATCCTAGAAAAATAAATAATTGCTTAATTTGAATTTAATTTTTGTCACTTAGACATGTAGAACATTTTTGTAATAATAATATATTCAGGCTTCCTTTCCATGAAACTTGGTAGATGACACATAAATACACTAGGTATATAACACACCAAAAATCTTAAAAGGAAAATTTATCTACAACAATGTATTTGACCATGTGGTCTTCAAAAATTTCTTAGTTTAATTAAAATATCTTTGGTTCAAAAATTCCCTTGTTTTCTGATGTCTAATTGTTTTGCTACATGTAACTGTCAATGTCTGAAATATATCTAAAATATCTAAGTTTCTAAAATATGTTGGATATAAATTCTCCTCCCAACTCTGGCTTAATGAAGGGTATGAGTCCAGGAGATACCAGTCAGAACCCACTTAATCAATACAGCGCAGCAATACAAACTCAATCATCAAATTGTACCCACTGTGAAACCCAAACTGTCCTTTGAAAAGCTTGGGATACAATTTCTAAATGATGAGCTTCTAAGTAAAGGAACTATTTTACATTGCTATGTCTAGAAACACTGGGACCTAGACTTCACGAGATAAGAATGATGGTATACATGTCTCAGTGAACAAATTAAAATTCCAAGTTAGCAATTATAAACTAGGTTTCCTGATATAATTATTTTTCTTTCCATTAGTCCTTGACCATTATTACTTGGAATTCTTACCCTAGTATGCCTTTATTGCAATGTGCTTTAAATCTCTCAGAGTAAACTTGACAAAAATGCACAACTTAAGCAATTAGACAAAGTATTTCAAGCCTAGATCTGAGCAACAGAACATCTGTTTATTTCCTTATGTTTCAGTATGAAGTGATCCTCAGACCAATTAAGTAGGAATCAAAATACAATATGCATATTTACTAAACTCCAATCACAGGCAAGCCTTGTGCTAGGTACAGGGTAGGCCACTCACATATATAATTTCATTTAAAACTAACAATAAGAATAAAGGAGGAAAGGGAAGCCTCAGCAATGTCACAACAAATCTTTATAAAACAGTAGTTCTTCACTTGGCAACACAAGGGAATCATTTGGGGAACTTTTAAAAATGCTGATGTCTGAATCCCACTGCCAGTGATTCTGATTTTAACTAGTTTCAGGTACCAGAATATTTAAAGGCTCCCCAAGTGACTGTGATACACATCCAAGAATAAGAAACACTGCTATGGAAAAATGTGGGCCAAAAGAGTTTTGATGCCTAAACTCTCAAGCAAATGCAATAAAACATCTATAGGTATTTCCATATGCATTAAAATAAAAGAATATAGACAGGCTAAATAAAACACATAACACTTAAAAAAAAACCCTTCAGCTAGTAATTATAAGCTCTTTAAACTTAAACCCATTTACTGTTACTTACTTGCCAGAAATCTTTCAGGTTTCCTTTCTCCTTTAGTTTCACTGAGGCAATTTTGAGAGAGTTTTACTTTACTGTGTGCATACTAGGAAATATTGATAACTTTTTTTTTTAATCATTGTCTGACTCATCCACCGTCCAGAAGTTTAACATACTTCTGATTTTGATTTTTGTCTTCAGAATTCCAAAGGATTCCTCAAACCACAGGGTAAGTAAGATTCAAATTTGTAAAGCACCGTCATTTAGGCTGCTTTTCCTAACTGGTTATTGCTAGCATATAACAGCAACATACATTTATGTATAATTATCACTTATTAAATTCTCTTCATAGTTGATCTGTTGACATTGGATTTTTTCTGGCTTACATTACTGTCAGAAACAGGAGGCAGACAAGGCCCACCTCCCTTTCCCCTGAAACCCAGCCTTCAAGCCTAAAACAGCCTGAAGGCTGAAAAAAGGGACTGCAGGTCTCCGAGAATCTCCAGCCAGCCTGCCCACCAGGAGGACAGAGTGGAGCCTTGGGAAGTGCCTGCCCCATTTGCAGGGGGAGGAGCCTGGCCTCTGGGGCTCCTGTGTGGTAACTTGGGATTCAATCTATGAGATGCAGACCTGTTAACAGGTACCCCTGTCACTTTGCTGAGTTTTTTTCCTTTTTACCCAATAAATTTGGTTTCCCCTTGCTCTTCAAAGTGTCTGCGAGCCTAATCCTTCCTGGCCCTGTGACAAAAACCCGGTTTTTCCTACAACGTTATCATTTCAATGACTTCTGAATTTCATCTCTTCTTTGCCAATACTTAAAGGCACATGCACTCTCTTCTCATCACACTGGCTAGAAACTCCATGTAACAGACTATTGTATCATCATCATCAAACCCTTTCTACTCATCTTCCTAGGCCACACAGACCACATTTCCCAGCCAATGGAATGTGAGCTGAAATGATAAGTAACCATTATTCAGCCTAACTCTTAAACCACTCCTACTCATTCTTTTTCACAGTTTTCCAGCTAGACAGAGCCATGTGTTGAAGTCATGCATGTCAGTAAATCTGGATTATAAATTAAAAATAAAATTGTAAGGCTCCCCGCCGCCCACCACCCATCTGAATGGACTTCCTCCTTGGCCAGGGCACTCTTAAATGTAACCTGAAAGACTGCTTCAGGCCATGATGGCAAGTAGGGTGCCTCATTATACTCTCCAGCATTAACAACAACACAAACCTTCAGTCTCATAAGAGGCATTTATAATTTATTTTCTTGGAAGCCTGCTACCTGGATGCCTCATCTGCATGATAAAACTTTGGCTTCCACGGCCCAGACATTTCCTTTCCATTGACCCCAGGTCTTTAGATAAACTCAACCAATTGTCAACCAGAAAAATTTAAATCTACCAAAATCTGTAAGTCTCCTGCCTCCACATTTTATCCCACCTTCTGGAACCAAACCGATATATTTCTTAAATGTATTTGATTGAAGTCTTGTGTGTCCCTAAAATGTATAAAACCAGGATGTACCCCAACCACCTTGGGCACATGTTCTCAGGACCTCCTGAGGGCTGTGTCACAGGTCATGGTCCCTCATATTTGGCTGAGAATAAATCTCTTTAAATATTTTACAGAGTATGATTCTTTCTGTTGACAGGATCATCTCTCAAGACTGTGCACTTCAAGACACACTCCTGCTTCTCCCTTTCTTGTGTTTTTCCTGAGCAATAAATAAACTATTACATTAAGCTGAAATTCCAGAGGTCTGTTAAAGATGATGTTAGCATTTCCTGGCATTTAGATTTTCCACTATCCTGGTATGTTTGTGTACAGTTTCAAATATAGATAGTTTATCATAATAT